CATTAGATTCCGTTGAACAGGCGGTTCTCCAGAGAAACCTAAACCATCATTTCTTAGAACACTGTCTTGCACTTTTTACTTTATCTTGTACTTTATTTATTGAGCTTTCATCCTCTCTTTTGTCTCTCAGGTTTTGGCAACATGGCGGCTGTACCTCATGGCCCCCAAGATACCAACCAAGGTACGGTAGGCAATTACGCACCACCTGTCTGCTCCATCTCAAAGCACTGCAGTAATCTGGTTTAGCATGACTTATGTAGCAAGATGCTCATTTTCACCTCAGGTGGAACAAACGTTCAACTTCCTGGAGATTCGGGCAATGAACACCCACCCGGATAATCAAGTAGGAAAAGCGTTTACAGGGCTCCAGTGTTTTAGCTTTTGTGGCCAAATTTCCTCTCCATCGTTTTGCTTCACTAAAGCGTGTTCTTTCCTTCACAGGTTGTCATAGAAACAGACAAGTCCCCATATTCCCTGAGGCTGCAGTCTAATGACCACCTGGATCAGCTGATTAACCACATCAACTTTGCTCTCTCTCGGATCTTCAACAACTCCATCTACACGTAAGTGTCCCAAGAACCCCACAAGTTTACCGGGGTCCTGCATAACCAGACTTTGACTGAACAGCATAGTGGTCCACATTGCAGCTTATTCTGGCGAAGAACCGTCCACTCAGACAAGATTAAACTGTCTGACTGACACAAAAAGCAAAAAAGCGTTGTTTTTGCATTGCATTTAGGGGCAGGTTTGTTTAAAATAGATTATACCACAATAGACCGCTGCTGAAAGAATTACTGAAGTAATTGTGTGGAAGTTTTTTTAGTATAGACTTTATATTATTATATTATATTACGGTTATACTTATATACATATTACAGTTATATATATTTATTATATTATATTACAGACATAAGACAAACAAGGATACAAGCTCACGAGGTCTAATGTTTGCAATACAATTTTTAAAAACTTTTTAACAATAACAAAATCTTTACTTTTGTAAAGAAACCTCATGTAATATGCATAAAATTCCAATACTCCCGTTTATCAGTACATGATATGATGAAATCTTTGGTAAATAATAGATATTACTGTACAGGAATAGTTCACCCAAAAATTTAAATTCTGTTATCATTTATTCACCCCCCACTTGTCCCAAACCTGTATGAGTTTCTTTCTTCTCCTGCACACAACAAGATATTTTAAGAATGTGGATAACCAAACAGTTGATGGTCGCCA